CTTAAATCACCATTTCTGGCTTAGGGCCACTCCCTGCCCCCCCCACTTGCTAAGCAGGAATTCCACCCTCCCCTCTGCCTTGTGGAGACGTGTCTGTGTATTAGCTAACAGACCACATGCTGGCTATGGTCTCTGTTGAATCAACAGGGAGCTGGTAATGTCCCACTGTTGTATTCTTAATGGGGTGGTAAACACTGAGTTAGGGGTGATAAACACTGGGTTATCAATTCCCTGCTGGGCTAATCAGAGCATCTTGCCAGGACCTGGCCACACCCCCCTCCCTCAGCTCAGTGCTGTGGAAGGAAGGAAGGGCTGCTCTAGCACCCCCCGGCTTCTAGACCGAGCCACTGCAGGCATGTGCCTGCATTTCTGGGATGTCTGTCTGGTTACAAAACTGATTTAGCCTAGCTAGGTTAGACTAACCTGCAAATATTGAATCAATTTAGGCTCAGGCTTTTTGAGTGTCTGTCCCTAACCCATGAGATAGAAGCCTGCTTCATACCTATGCACAGCCTTAGTTGAGGGTAAACCAAGGAGAATACCCACTGGCCAGGCATGAATGTTTGACTGAGAGTGGATATGGAATAGTGTGAGGTATGCAAAGGGCATAGTGATCAGCAACAGAACACAGCTGGCAGTGAAGACAGCCAAGGGACTGACAGCAACGGCAAAACAGACAGGGAGGGATCTTAACTGGAAATGCTGGACTATCACTGCGCACTAGCCCAAGGCCCAGCAGAGGCTGCAATCCAGCAGATTAACCGACAGGACATGGAAGCCTTTATGGGAGAGCCAATTCTACTTGCTGTTGCAAAGGGGAGCCAAGGACTTGAGGCATCAGTCAAATACCTGCACAAAGCAGCAATAACAAAAGGCACTGGCCCAACTGGTAATGGGACAGAGGTCAAAGGAATTGGTCATAGCTTCAGGAAAGTGGTGGAAATGAAAGTGAATATAACTGGGGAGTAGAAGAAATCACTGTCACACCCAGGCAGAGAAATCTAGGACAAGGATGACTTAGACAATGTCAGCTTCTCTCACAGAAAAGTCAGAAGAAATTAAACCTATGAGCAAAATGAAGTACCAGCAGGACCACCAGACTGAAGGGAACAATGGGATGGAGGTAAGTCCCTATAAACAGTGATAACACAAACAGGAAGTGTAAGCCCAGGATGCCTGAAGGCCCTTGAACCTTAAGAGGCTGTAAAGGACTAGCATAAATGTCCATGTTCTCATGGAGAGCTCTGTTCAAACAAGCTCCAGCTTCAATGTGTCTAAAATGCAGGCACAAAAGACTCCAAACAGCACAACACGGCTAAATGGGAAGCAGTGGCAACCTGCAGGGGACTTAGAGGGAAGAGTTTGGAAGAAACAGCTTGAGGTTGTTCTGTCTGCACAGAGCCAGACTGCTCGCTGCAGGTGCCACACCTCTGTGCATAGTTCTGGAATTAATGAGCAGTTTTGTTTTAGAAACAAGGATTCATCTCATATTCAGGCAGAGAAACTGCCTGAATAAGGGTTTTGGAAGAGCATAAACTTTCACTGTCTTAAATGAGGCACATGTTGAAAAGATGTGAAATCAGTTCTTTGGTTTTAGGTCAGAAGTTGCTGAACATAAGTTATGAAATTGTACTTGCTGGAGCCCCATAGTTACTTACCTAATTTTCTTGGTTAGTACAATGATGTAGCAACTGTCACAAGTTAAAGAGGATGTATGAGTGACTCTGTTAATAGCTACTAGCTATTTGTAAAGAAGTGCTAGGCCTAATACACATTGCTCTGAAAAGTTCACTTCCCACATACAAGAAGATAGGTACCCGTACCTTAACGGTAGGCTCAAACATGCCTTTTTTGTAGCTGTGAGAAAATATAAAACATGCAAAAAAACCTATAAAACTATGAATTCTCCTCCTTGTCTGTTTTCCATAGCAACTTCAGCCCTGAAGTCTGACTGCTGCAAAGGGATCGGATTGTGTTGACTGCATCAAGGGATATGGCCGAGATCACGTTAAAGAGAACTATCCTTTCTTGGGTCACTAGGATCTAAGAGAAGTAGTCCCCTTAGTTTCCTTTGGCAAGCCTCCAAGTACGAGAGAAGGTAAAGACTTTGGTCACTCACTATGCCAACCCAGCTGGCCTGCTACTGCATGTTACAGGGGTCCCCTATCCCTGTTACTGGAAAGGAGCGAGCAGAACAGGCTAGAGTCAGCAAAGCAACTACTGCTGGCAGGAAACCTAGCTGCGAGGGACAGCAAGCGTGAGGAGCCTAGATAAATGGGCTTCAGGACCCGGACTGCAGGCAACAGAGTGCTGGGCTGCTTAGAGTTAGCAGCACCTGGGTCCTGTTTCCAGAGCTGGGTCAGATGGCCAGAAAAGGGTGGAGCAAGGAGCCCTTTAAGCTTCCTCCTAAAAAGAGGAAGTTGCTGCACAAAGATAAGGACAGCCTGTGTGAGGAGTGGTGGACAAAGTTGGCTGTCAGCACACACAATGGGTATCCTGAAGCCTGGGAAAGGCCAGAGGTTGGAAACAATGCTGTTCAATGAGGATTGTCTGAAGCAGGGTTTGAACCTTTTTAGTTTACAGAGGTTTGGTGCTCTTTGTGTTTGACCAGAGGCCTGGGTTGTGGCTATGGGGGTTTGGAGGCCATGTAGCAGGGTGCTGGGGGCTGCTCTGTGTTTTAAAACCTGCTCTACACAGGGGCTGAGACCAAGGAGCTGAGGTCTGCGGCAGCAGACCAGGGCAGAGGGTCTCTTCCAGAAGAAAAAGACCAAAGCTGGTGTGACAGCTGCAAAGTCTTGTTTGGCTGCAAGCCGAGTGGGTGAGCTGTGCCTAAGAACTCTGGAGGAAAGGCGGCCAAAAGTCTGCAGAGGGTGAAAAAGCTTCTCCAGATGGAGGGCATGTTGTGTACAATGCACACTTTTTATTGGAGCACTTAAACTGTGACCAGGGTCCCCATTGCAAACCCTGGGCTCTGATAGGCTACTATGGAGACATAAAGAGCTGAGAGTGGGGGAGAAGCCAAAGGAGAGTAACACCAGCCTGGAGGGAGGGGCAGAGACCTGGCCCCCACCTAGGTAGAGGGAATGGAGCTGAGGCTTGCTGGGGAGCAGACGGAGGAGAGCCTGAGTCATCCCAAGAGAAGCTGATTTTCCCCACGTGGGGTGGAGCTGTGCAATCAGGGACAGAAGTACCCAGGGAAAGCATGGAGAGGGGTTGGTAAGCTAGCCGGGAGAAGCTGCCTGGTCGGGGACCTGCACAAGGAAGTCATCTGTTTGGGCTAGAAAGGCTTGTACTGCAGGTACAGAGACCTGAAGAGGGAATCCCCTGTCTGCATGTGGAGGTGCTGGGGGAGAAGCAGGCTGGGAGAATCCCAAGTCTGCATGGGTGTGTGAGGGGACACGCAATGCCTAGTGTTTGCAGGAGGTGTATTTTTTCAGAAGGAATCTAAAGAAAAGAAGCCTATTACCTGCAGTGGCTGGTTGGAGACTTTTTTTTGCTGAGTTACCAATGAAGTTATTTACACTTCTGCAAAGAGAAAAAAAAATAGATCAAGAAAAGAAAAATGAGTTGTTTTCTGTGTATAGTTTTGTATAATAAAGAAACCCATTTTTTTTTTATTGGACTTAGACAAATTCTTGGGCAATGTGGGTGAGGGACACAACTCTCCACAGGGACCTGCCTGAGGGGGTTCCCAGGGCTTCTGGCACCCTGAGGATCCAGGATATTACCCAGCTTAGTGTGCCAGTGAGGGTTGCACTGGGAAGGTGGAAAGCTGAACAAGGTTTTGAGGCCTGAGGGGCCAAGTTTGTCGGCTGGGCCAGGAGGCCTCAAGGCATTGTGACTGACTGTGGCTACGGAGACTGTTGGAGGCCATGATTATAGCCCCTAAGTCATGATTAGGGCCAGGGTCTGTGCTTGGG